CTAGCAGTCAGCTGAAGTGGCTGCAGTACTGCACCCTAACCACTGCGCCACCTTGGCTCTTGCCAAGTTTTTAATCAGTTTTTCATCCTGATCAAACCTATATTTTTTTTTAAATCTATCCTCAAGTGTCCCACCTAAGATGGGACACCACCTTTTGCTTCTCAATAAGATGTAGCTACTAATGTACTAACTATTAAATACACAAAAAAGAAGTGCAGCACATCTGCATAAGAACATTTAACTATTGCCTTTCATTAATGTAAACTAGTAAAATTTACACACAGCTTTGTATGCAAAGTTAACAGCATGTAACTGAAAACAGGCAAAGAAGTGCTAGAAAAAAAACCGGGGGGGGGGCTTCCTTGTTGCACAGGTGTTTTGTCAGTACATTGCAAAATTTTGAACATGTGACCACATTTTACATTTATTTCCAGCTTTCAGGAAAACCATCCCATAGTGAACAATTGATTCGTTTAATGATTATGTTTGCTTAATGGCTGTGATATTTGCTTAATGACCACCACAAAAAAGGTCATCAAATTGGATCGGTCATTGTGGGTGACTCACTTTACAAGCATCACAATTTAGGACCATAATAATTCCATTATAATTTGAAGTTAGGAACTACCTGTAAATCAGATGATGTTAGTATAAAATTAATGTCCTACCTTTATCTCCATCCCATCCCATCTGATATATGCAATTTTCCAAATCTTCATCTGATAAGTTATATATATATTCTATTCTGCAGAGTCCTCAGATAATCAGTATCATTTGCAAAAGCTAAATTCAGATTACTAAACCAGATCTTGCATACAAAGGCATGTGCTACATGCCCCGTTCCCAAGCTGGCAACTTCCAAACTTGTTTTAGCTACTAACCTGCCACCGCAGAATTGCAGTCCCAACTGGTTGCAAAAAGATGGCTCTGTGGGAAGTCCTCGAGTTATAACTGCCACCGGGATTGGAAATTGCAAATCAGTCATTAAGTGAGCTTGCACCTAATGCAATTTCAAGCTTTCTTTGCTGCAGTGGTTAAATGAATCTAGCTTCCTTTATTGGCTTTGCTTGTTGGAAGCCACCTGGAAAGAGCATAAAAGGTGATTCACAAGATCCCAGGAAGCTGCAACTGTTGTAAAAACATGCTGGATACCAAGTACCTGAGTTTTGATTTCATAACCATGGGGATGCTATAACTGAAAGCAATAAGTGTGAGAAGTCACTTTTACAATAGGGTTCCACCACAAAACCGCGATGCCCTTATCCGCGCCGACATAAGCGCGGAGGCAAATCCGCGGCGTTTGAAGCGCTAAGAAAAAAACGACCCTACCGCCGCAACAACAGCGCGGCGACAGAAGGGCATTCTACATGCTTCGTTCTTTGCTTCCAAAGGTAGCCCTCCTCCTCCAGCTGACAGCGGCAGTGGGCTCGGGGCAAAGCGGGCTGCCCAGCAGCAGCAGCCCGCGGGAAGGGTCCAGCTCAGCCGCCCGCCGGGCAAGCCCGCTTTGCCACCCCGGGAGAGCCTCAGCCGCCGCCGCTGCTGCGTCCTCCTCCGCCACCGGCGTCGGCGTCCTCACTCAGCCCCCCCGCAGGCTTCCTGCAGCCCCCTCGGCTGTGCTGGACCCTTCCCACGGGCTGCTGCTGCTGCCGCTTTGCCCCGAGCCCACTGCCGCTGTCAGCTGGAGGAGGAGGGCTACCTTTGGAAGCAAAGAACGAAGCATGTAGAACACCCTTCTGTCACCGCGCTGTTGTCGCGACGGTGATGACGCGCGGTGATGACGTCGCGGCTTTAGTGACGCGATTTAATCTCCGCTATTTTGCATAGTGCGGTTTTGTCGTGCCATGTTACAATAGCAGTTGTAGCTTTGAATGGTCATGAAATGAATGATTGTAAGTCAAGAACTACCTGTATCTAAATTCAAACTAATTATGGAATATTTTGGACAGACAGCGGTCCATCTCAAACGAGGCCAAGGCAGTCTATTTGTCAGGGTTCCAGGTAATAGAGACATACCAAGCATATTGTGTTGGCACAGATCTGGTGAAAACCGACTCTGAAGACGTCCACAGTTTTCATCTAATTAAAAGTAAAAGTTTTCCCACTTTCCC